ATTTCACTTCTTGAAAATTTGATTACAGTCAGGTCAAACTCAACGTTAAGTAGTAGGTTTGCAATATAAAAAAATGTATCTTAAACAACTTAAGATATACTGATAAGCCTTGGTCACTTTTTTCTTCGTACACCAAATAATTACAATTAAGGTTAACTCCCGTATTACTCAAGACTAGAACTTAGGTTCCTCTGTGATTAAAATGTCTTTTTAATTTGAGGTTTGGAAAGGCTCTTCGGTTTACTGAGACAGGTCAGCCTTCGTGCGCAATGTACAGTGCTTGTAGTCATCTGCGTACGGTATTTCGTGGGTTATTATCAGAGTTACTCAGTGCATTTTGTGTTTTTAAGGGCTTGACTATGCGTTTCAACATGCCGACTGGGACCAATATGCTTCCCACGAACTTCAACTCCCAAACACCGTATATTCCTTTCAATTTGGGTGCTCTGTCAGCAATGAGTAATCAACAGCTGGAGGTGAGTGGCAGTCCAAGTAGTGTAACAGGTCTGTGTTGCTGTAAGCGTGCATGTATTTTTCTGTCACAAATACTGGTTAATGTCATTTTTAAATATCTTGATATTTATGTTATGGTCTCCCATTTTAATAGATTTTTAATAATAGCTTTGTTGAAGTCTAACTTGTATGCGCGTAAAGCTATACCTGTGTAATATCTCTGGATTATGGAAAACTAACTGCGTTCTTTGCGGACATTTAATTACCACATCCAGCTTTCCACCTCCATCTGTCTTCCATCAGAGAAGGAACGGGAGAGAGGAATGCGTGCTCTGTTCCTCAGTTATCTCAGGTCTTGGTTTGCCATCTTAGCTGAGGGCATTTCTTCCTAATACGATGCCAGGCTGTAAACCACAGGAGTTGAAGCACAGCGGTCTCGTGGTACCTGCTAGTGTCTGGTGAGGAGTCTGTGCTAAAGAACTGAAAACCTCTAGGAAAGTGTGCAAATCAGGGGGACCCGTGTTGAATATACCGGAGGAATAATACACAATATTGCCAGTATTATGCTAAAATAGATAATTTAGCAGAATAGATAATATTTTGAGCGCGTAGAATGAGTTGAGACTGTAACGTCATCGAAGTCAGTATCACAGAAAATTTGCCTGGGTGGAAATGTAGCAGTCCTGTGATGATCTGAAAACCTTTGGGTGCAAAACCAGGTTTTTATAAATGCTGTCCACTGTACAAATTGGCAGATTTATACGTGCTGTTCAGTTACTCTGTGCTGAAATTCAGTTGTGTGGAAGCTTAGACTCATTGACTTGTGCAAATTGAGAGAAGAAAAATTGAAGTCTAGGTACACAAGGCGAAGGTCAAGAAAACTTACAAAAGGTTAGCAAAGAAATGTGTTCCTTCTGTCTGTGCTTTATAATTAATTTTCTGGTGTTTTCTCAGGACCTTATTAATCAAGGAAGAGAGAAAGTTGTGGAAGCAACCAACAGTGTAACTGCAGCAAGAATTCAGCCCCTTGAAGACATCATTTCAACCATAGTGAGTGGAATGGGTAACTGTAGGTTTAGATCAGGAGATGGGAAAACCTTAAACATTACCAGGCAAAGAAACTACTACTGTATGCCGTCATTCAGCTAATTAGTTGCATTATTAATGAATATAACTTCCAGTTTGTATTGACCTTTATCCGGGCAGCTTGCAGTAACCCGTAATGGTATCTAGATGACACAGAGCCTTAGAAGACTAGCCGTTTAGATCCGTAATTATTTGCCATGCTCCAAAAATGCTGATATTCTACAAATAAGAATAATAATTATACACAAATACGATGTATTTCTTATATCTTGTCCTTGCCTATCTATTTTGGGTTGCCACATTTCTTACTTGCTCCTAATAATCTAGAGATGTATTATCTTAATTAGCAGTTAGAAGAACTAACGACTCGTAGTTCCAAGCCTGGCGAAGTATAATTTTGCATTTACTGGAAATTGGGCTGTGTTTTAATTCTTGATGCAACTCTGAACATAATGCAAGACCTCAGTTACCATTACGCTTTTGTTAAAGTGACTAGTGCCAAGAAGGTTTTGGTTTTTTTCCCTTTTCAGTGGAAAGAAAACGTAACGCTCACAGAGAGCCAAGTACAGGCCCTGGCACTAAGCAGGCAGGCAAGCCAGGAGCTTGATGTCAAGCGCCGAGAAGCCATCTATAACGATGTCCTTACTAAACAACAGATGGTAAAATATCTAATACTTCTTTGATCAACTGTCCATGTTTGAACTGGGATGTTGAGTGTGGACTTTGCATGTGTGTGTTCGTAAAATCGAAGTATACATTTAGGTACGTAAACTTTACGTGCTTACAGAATGTGTGTTTCGGTGGGTCGAGTGTTTGCTGGCATTGCGTAACGGTGTATGTGACCTAACGGTGTATGTGACGTAACGGTGTGTGCTGACGTTCTGCAGCGTGCTGGCTTGCGTTGCTCAGCCTCATCGAAGGAGACTCCATGAGAAGTTCATTTGAAACAAAAAAAAAAAAAACTGGCCAGATTTTTCTGTTGGAATAGCTTGCTTGAAGGTCATGAGGCTTAAAGAGAAATCTGATTCCCAGAGCTCAGAAGGCGACTCACAAAACACGCATCTTAGAAAGTATCGCTAATGGTTTTTTAGCTTAGAATTATTTTGCAAAATCTGAAAGTTCCCCAGATTATGTCGAAGGGGAGAGTTTTCTCTTGGGCAAACAAACATTTAGTGACAGTCCGCATGCAGGACTTTCAAAGGGAAGATAAATGGTACCTGACAAACGATGCTGTAACTTATACCTGGGAATAATTTCACAGTAGAGTGCCTGTTGCCGTAGCAACTTGCCTGAATGCTGCGTGCAACACAATAGGCAAGTCATTAGGAGAACTTAGCCCTAAATGGTGTTCCTAAATGGTTTCTGCAGTAATCAGCCCGTGAATACCGCCACGTTAGTGATGGCGATAACAATGGTGCTTTCTTCCTCCAGCCATGCTATCCCTGACGAATTGATTGTAACTCTGAACTTGATAGCGCAGCGTTGGGAGGGGCGGTGCGCTCACGCCAGCTCTGCTTTCCCTCCGCAGCTCATCAGTTGTGTTCAGAGGATACTCATGAACAGAAGACTACAGCAGCAGTACAGCCAGCAGCAGCAGCAGCAGATGTCTTACCAGCAAGCAGCAATGAGTCATCTCATGATGCCAAAGCCTCCAAATTTAATCATGAATCCTTCCAACTACCAACAGATAGATCTGAGAGGAATGTATCAGTCAGTGTCTGGTGGTATGCAGCCACCGCCGTTACAACGAGCACCACCCCCAATGAGAGGCAAAAATCCAGGGCCTTCCCAAGGGAAATCAATGTGATTTTGCACTAAAAGCCTAAAGGATTGTTAAAATCAGAGAAAGAACTTTTTATTTTTTTAGGAATCAATGGCTTAACAGAACTCAACTGTAAAAAAAAAAAAAAGGAAAAAAAAAGAAAAAAGTTTGGTTGGTCCCCTTAAATGCCATGTTCCATATTAGTGTTTCAGCTTTGTTTAAAAAGGACATAATGTTTTCCCTGTTGTCAGTGATGTTGCCTAGAATCTTCTTACATATGTTGAGTACAGGAGATAACAAGTTGTTTTCAGTGAAAACAAGTCCTCCCGTAACAGTAGCATCTCCACAGGTTTCCTGTCTAAACTCCTATGCTTGCTTTTAGTAGCTGCGAAGCCGTCACCAGATGCGAGAAGCTTAGGAAGGACTGCAGGTCTGTGTTTCAGTATACCATACGTGAGTTGTAAACAGCTGAGTTCTTGATTAGAGTTGATTCCTCAAATTATGGAATACTTTTCTGCTTACCCGTTTCTTTATTAGTGGGAATATTATAACAAAATAGTCAAGTTTCCTTTTGACTGAGGTCTGGACTCGTACTATATCACCCATGCTGAATGAAACAGGAACTGAAAATACTCTTTGAAACAGAATTGAGTGCAATATTCTTAAATACTACTGCTCTGAAACGTTTGAGTCATGCAGTTATATAGAAACTGTGTATACAGCCTTAAATAGTGACTTGGGGAAGGTGATTGCTCTTCCCTAGTCTTCTGCCATTTTTTATTTTCAGTTTTATGTGATGGAATAACAAATGGTGATCTTAGAGGTGGAGATGTTTTTCCTTCACATGCTAATTTACTCTGTGCGGAGTCCGATACAAAGCACATTTCTGTTAACTCCTTAATGCTGGTGCTACTGTCTTTTCCCATTGCCGGCAATGGGAGATGGGCCAAGAAAATTAAATTCCTGGTATTTTGGGGGTTAAAATAGTGATGGTGGCCAGGGTCAAACCTGTTACATAAACAACTTTAAAATGGCAGAACCATTGCCGATTTAAAATCGATACAAAGAAAGTGCTGTAGCAACTTCCAGCGCTCCCAGAACAGTGTAATAACTTTTCCTTTTCCTCTGTTAGATAAGAGTTTTGGTTATGCACTCCTCCCCCTTCCCCTTTGTTTGTG